TTATGAACAAGTTTGTTTCCTCGCCTTTTTGGCAGAAGGAAGTTCGAACGGGGATAAAAGGGCAAGGGAACTAAACTGAACTAAGGAGCTGTCAGGAACACGCGCCAGACGCACATCTCCAGCCCCCGATCGGAATTGATTTCGTCGCATTCTTTTCAAAATTATTGATAAGACATTTCCACAGGCATTGTGTGTGCCCATTACAGTTACTGCTATAGTTACAGCTACAGCTACAGTCGCTCCTGCCAGCGAGTGTCCCATGTAATACAAATATTGACATACATTGATTTCGCAATCCTCAAGCTGCTTAGGGTAGCAACAAGCGAAAGGAAGGACCTTTCCAGCTTTCCTCCTTTTCTGGGGGGTTGCGGATTCAGGTCTCTTCTTCGGCTTTGCACAGAAAAAAATATACTCCCAAGAAGGTTTTAAGGGGTAATAAGAAGTAACCTTTATAAACCCAATTGTTATTATTCTTAAATCTTTGAAATTAATTCTTTTTGTTTCACTATATTCAAGTTCATTTTAACGAAATGAGAATTAAAATGTTTTTTTCTTAAAATAATTTCGAAATGGAATACGAATTTATAGGATCTAGTCAAAAGATTTTACTGAATTCGAAAATACCTTTCTGATTTTTTAAGTGCCTTCTGTTCATCCCTGTTTTTTTTTTTTTTGGAAATATTGTAAAGCTGAAAGCAAATGTCAAAAGTCGGAAAAGTTGAAACTTGGCTCATGTTCACCGGCAGTGACGAGAAGTGGTGGGATGGTCCGGGTTGGGGAGTTCCAGTCTCAAGGGCCGCAGAATCAGCTTAGCAAGTCCCTCGCCGACTTTGAATGGGAATCACAGGCGACCTAAGCACTTTTTAAGCTCGAGATGATGACACTTGTACCTGAGTGCGTTTCTGCCCTAGGAAATTCGAAGTAAGGAGCCCGCAGCAGAGTAAGTGGAAACTCCTGCCCACCCAAGTAATACAGTTTCCATTTATTTATATGTATTTGTATATATATTTAATATAATCAATTTAAAACACATACAATTTTTGATAAATGCTCACTTACAATGAAATGAAAAATGTTCGGCTTTCCACCGATTTTTGATTCTTTGCTCTTTCACATTTTACACATAATATAAATTATTTTGTTCAAGTTTTCCTTGTGTTCTTTTGATTTTTTCTCACACGTAGTTTTACATAATAACAAAGTAAAATTGTTTAAGTATATGTAATATATATATCGATATATAAGTGTATATATCTCATACTTTTGCCAATTGCTAAATAAATGTTATTTTGTTAGGTTTTCGTTTTACATTAAAATTAGATTTAATTTTGTTTTGATTTTTTGCTCGTGGCTTTTGATTTTGCGCTCTCACGTCTTTTTGTGTTGCGTTTCTCCTCACAATTTCCTCTTGTTCCAATTTCAACATCAATTAAATTAGTAATTTATCAATGCATTTGGTTGCTTTGACTTAAGCCTACAACTAAAATATTTATTAAGAGTGTAATCTTTTGATTTTTCGTTTGTTCTTAGCGCTAGTAAAATTTTATTTTTGATTTTCTGCTTTTGTTTTTGCTGCTTGACCCTTTTGAAGGTCTTACAAAATTTTGATTTACGCTCAAGGTACGTTGCAAGTTGTTTTTGGATTTTGTGTTGTAAAATTTATTTAGCTTTAGTTTAAAAAAACGTATTGTTCACAATTTTAATTTGTGCGCTCTGATTTGTGGGGGTTGCAGTCATGCCAAAATCCAACGATAAATAAAAATAATGGTAAGCCATTGCCAAAACCCGAGCCCAAAGGAAATAAAGAATTTGCATGGGGTGCCTGCCAAATCACCCTTGGCAAATGCAATTTCTTCTTTTCTTTTCTTTTCATTTTATTTTTATATAAATTGCGATTTTTCCAGTTCACTTTTAAACATGCAAATAGCGACGAAATAGCGACCCTTATTCAGATGCAAATACACCATGGGGTGCACTGCATTCGATCAATTGTTTGCGCCCTTAAAAATTTCTGCCAGCGGATTTTCCCAAATTGCCATAAAAATTCAATGGAAAAAATTTCGGAAAAACTGGGAAAAATATTTATGAAATTTGCCTACCATCCCCCGGTCAACCTGAGGGTTGTTGCCCAAGTCAATCTTTAATTGCACCGCCGGCAGCCGGAAAAGTATCGAATATCTGGCCGTAATCAATGAGATGAAATTTGCATGGACACGTGACAAATAATTAACTGGCAAAACGGGCGAGATTCTGAGCCCCGAGGGTGGCTGAATTTAATCAATAGCCATGGCGATATCGATTTTGATTCCGGCTTAGCAACATTTTTTAGAACTTCAATCGACTGCAGCTGCTGACCCGACCCGCCAACTTGACCCTCACATGACCATGCTGGGTTTTTGTTATCGTAGTTTTTGGTTTTTTTCCAGCGGAATATCGCCGTTCTACAGATGTATTTTTTTTAATGCAAACACACTAATCAGGGGGTTGGTCAAGGGCTGACCCAAAACCGGAAACAGTTTCACTTATTATGTTTTTCACTTTTTTATGGGGGTGCTATTTTCGATTGCATTCGAAGGAAATGAGGAAGGAAACCAGCTGCTTTTGAGTTTTTTTAAAGTGAGTAAAGAAGTTGCAGATATGCTCCCAGGCCATTGTTGACAAATTGAATCAAATTTCGATTTAATAATTGAAGTGGCCAAGGCGTTGGACCAGCATATAACACCCCGGAAAATGAAGGTCCCCTATGGGAACGTTTTCCAAAAAATAACCAAAAAACAAAGGAAAGGAAAAGGTTTTCCCCTATCGGCGACAAATTCACAGTCAATGAGTTGAAGATACTGATTTTTTAAGAACTTGGACTCGGGTCTGACACACTTCAATCAGGGGTAAAAATACATGCGGTTGCTCTTTAATTGGGATATCAGAAATCAACATCAAAATAATAAAAGAAACTCAAGTTTAACAAATACAAATTGCATGACATTTATTCAATACATATATACACATTTAAAGTAAGATATAAGAACTAATAAATAAGTGGAATAAAAATAATATTACGATCTATATTTGTAGTTATATGTAAAATGTATTTTCGATTTAAAGTTCAAATTTCTGTGGTTGTGGAGTCGACGAAGTATTTGCTAAAAGGCACGCAGCATTTTAAAAAACACACGTTTTTAAAAAAAGGAAATTTCAAATATAGCAAATAGTTCTTCGCCGATCCGTTTTCATCGTAGAGCCATCAACTCATTTTGGGCAACTCCTCTCGCCGAAGAACAAATTCCTTAAACACTACAAAATAATCTGCGAAAATCGTTGCCCAAAACCGAAGAGCTGATGGAACTAGTTTGGCTCTTGGTTAATTATTTTAATTATTATTATACTTTTGACTAGAATGGTTTGGTTCTTGTGTTTGAGACTAGTTCTGGTCTTTGGAATGTTTAAACTTAGAATGGTTAATTAAATCATAGCACATATACTAGAATTTAAAATAAAGTGTAAAATGTAATTCTGTTTTAGTGGTAAAGTTACTAAAAATTTGATTAGCTTTAATTGTTGCTTTTCTGCACTTTTGGTTTTTATGGTTTCGAAGATTTCACTTTATAAATTCATTTTATTTAAATTATTGTTTTCAAGTCCGTCTGAGGTAGCATTCTTGTTATATTTTTTAACGTTTCATAATATATTTAATTTATTATTTTGGTAATATTTACTTGCGTATCTTTTAGGTTTCTCTAAATACGTTTGTATAAAAAAGTACTAATGGTCATTGTACTTTTGCCCTGAGTTGTTTAAATGTTCTTAATGTTTACCATCTGGCGCTAGTTCTCTCCCGATCTATCTCGTATTACCTTTCGACAATCTGAACTATTTACGGTGTTATCTTTAACAACTTTTTATGTACACGTTGTGCGCTTGAACTATGTTTTTAGTTTAGTGAAGACATTTCCTTGGATATAACTTGGTTCAGATGAGGTTAATACAAGATTGTTTATATTGAGGATGATAATCAACGGAAGTGGGCCATTTTTCAAAACATCCTAAAATCTATATAGATTTTGATTTTGAGCAATTTTTGTTGTGCTGAAGCTTTCCCATGGCAATCCTTATGTGCCATCTAACCTAAGCACTCCGTATCTAGATGAGAAATGTATAATTTAAATTTTGATTTTATGCTGCTGCTACTACGATATATATTCCTTCTAAGTGGTATATATAGTAATCCCTTTTATTGGTCTGCCCCTCCACTTTCTGCCTCCCCTTCGCCTAATCTATGTACGTATTTAGATTCCTCTCATCCTTCCATCTCCTTACATCTTCTTTTTTTTTTTGGTTTCTGCAACTCGTTTACGATAAATTACTATTACGCATAGGAACTTTGATAGTTAATCACTAGAGATATATGTTATAGGTTGCGGTATGTTATGCTTTGTGCTGTGCCACGCGTCTATCAAAATATATATGTTTTCTATTTTGATGGTTAGCACAGTGTTGCCAGCTGAAACGGACTTGTTCTTGTCGGGTTATAATGGTTATATAGGCTGTAGATTTGATCAGTGCCATGTTGGACATGGTGAACTTTTGGGCCCGACTTCGGGCTTAGATATTGATCGATTGTTGTTTTTGTTATGCGGGGTTTTCTTTGTATATTTAACTTTAATTATGAGCTCAACTAATATGCGCACTCAGTCTTTTGTAGTTCCACTATTTTGTCTTGTTCATGTTCCTAACTTCGTTTGCTTAAGTATTTAGTGGGGTTTTTTTGGGGGGTTTGAGGGATTGGGATACCCAAGCATTTAAATGTTTAAGTTTCTAAAGAAATTTCTAGGATTCTTGGGAACCTGTTAATAAAGCTAATAAATTGATTTTCTTTAAGCTTGAAATTTATCTGAACAATCAACAAGAAATAAAAATTGTTTTCACAGTGAAGATCAAACACTCTGAACAAATATTAGCTGGCACCAAAGAGATCAATTGATAGCCTGAAATTATCTTTTAAGTATCCCAATCCCCTATATTTTCCAGGGTTGCATTTGGTTTTTCTATGGCTTGAACTTACGCTGGCAACACTGTAACCTGTTGCATGTGGCACCTTTAGGCCGGTGTGAGCCGGAAGCTGAGCGTGGCCGACTCGGAGGCCCTCACCCGGACGGGCAGGTAGACGAGGGCCGGGGCGAACTGCATCTCGGAGTCCGGATCGGCGGGCTGCAGGTGGAAGGCCTGCATCTGATATGCCTCCTCCGTTCGGTCCGGTTGCGCGTAGCTGGCGGGCTTGCCGCTTCCGTTGGCCAACTCGCCGCATCCCTCGAACGGCGAAGTGGCCGCCGATCGGTGGAGGGTTCCGCCGCCACTGCCCAATCCGTTCGGCGTAGTTGGGGGCTTCGAGGAGGAGCGGCGGCGTTGGATCTTCGGGGAAGTTGAGCTGGTTGCTTTGGTGGAGTAAGCAGGAGGAGATCCTGCTCCCGCCGATGGGGGAATGAGCCGCCACTTTGGGTGCCGAGGTGCTGAGGTTGGTGGGCTCCAAGGGAGCTTCGGGCTCCTCGGATTTCACGGGAGCAAGTGGTGCAACCACCGCTGACTTGCTGGACTTGCTGCGGGACTTGCCCGGGTTTCTGGCGGAGATTGGCGGTGCCGGCGGCTCCACGGGCAGCTCCATAGCCTCGCCTCCGTTGTTCAGCAGGGCGTGGGAACGCTCGTGGATGAAGAGGAAGGCGTAGTAGGGCGTGGTGAAGGGGCACAGTGAGCACTGGTACTCCTTGAACCTGCCAGCTTGCTCTCCGAACATCCCAGGAATGGGTAGTGGTGGCATCTTGGGCATCTGCTGCTGCTGTTGCATCTGACCAAAGAGGTGCTGGGCATTGAGGTTCTGCAGCGCCTGGGCGAGATTGGGAGCGGAGTTTCCAGCTCCTGCTGCTGCTGCTGCTGCAGAGGGATTGCTGCCACTTCCGTTGGGAATCTTGAGCGTGGGACTGTTCGGCTTGCTGCGCGTGGAGGAGCCAGTGGTGTCCATCTCCCGCAGGCGTTCCACTCCCGCGGATCCGTGTTCGTTCATCAGATGCGATCGCAGCCACTTGAAGCTGCGGAACTGTCGCGAGCACAAGGGGCACACCTCGTGGTTGGATCCGCCAGTGGAGGAGCTACCCTCCACTGTGGTGGGGGAAACATTCAGCTCCTGATCCTGCTGCGGCGTGGCTGCTGCCACTGCGGCTGCTGCTGCGGCAGCTGCCTCCATCTTGACCCCATTTTGACCCCTTGGCTGCGGTAAAGGAGATCCCTCCTCGATGATGCCGTGTGTGTTGTGCTTGTGCACCCGCAGGAAGTACTTGCTGCACAGCTCCTTGTTGCAGATGTTGCACACGACGCCTCCGATCTGTGCCCCGTTCTCGATCTCGATGCCGTGCATCCGCTGCATGTGCGTCTTCATGAAGTACTTGTTGCACAGCTCCTTGTTGCAGATCTCGCAGTAGCTGCTGGTCGGGGTGAGCGTGTAGGCTGGTCTGTTTCCCGGCGGATTCCCCCCTGGATTGCCTGCTGCTCCTGCCGGGGGCGCCACCGGTCGTTCGGGGGTGAAGAAGCCCTCGCGCAGCGGACTGCCACCGAGTGGTACTCCGTTCCTGCCCATGTGCACCTCGGCGATATGTTGCTTGAATTCCTGGGCGCTGGCGAAGTCCCGATCGCACTGCTGGCAGCGGAGATCAGCGACGCCTGGCGGGGATCGGGCACCCGAGGTGGGCGGCGTTTGGGGATACAGACCCACCATGGGATGCGGCGCCTGCTGGTCGGGCAGGGGCATGGGAATGGGCATGGGCAGCTGCATCTGGCCAGCGTGCTCGGTCATCAGGTGAGCCCGCAAGGCGTACTGGTTCTCCTGCTCCTGGCCACAAAGGTGACAGGGCAGCGGTCGCTTGCCGTTGATGTCGTTCAGCTGCTGCAACATGGACTGCAGCTTCTGCAGGTTCTGCAGACCGACCACCGATCCATTCAGCTTCTCCTCGTCGTAGTTTTCCGGCGGAGTCTGTTCCTGCTCCAGTTTGATCCTCTTGCTCGGTTGTTCTGCCTCGGTTTCCGTTTCCGGTTCGCGTTCCTGATCCTGCTGATCCAAAGTGGCTGCCGCTGCCTTGGCCAGCATCAGATTGAGTGGCATGAAGGGCCAGGCACTGGGCATCTGGGCCTCGTCCTTGCCACCCGGCTGGGGGGTCACTTCTTCGGGTGGCACGAAGAGGCCGTGCCGCTTCCACTTGTGGGTGCGCAGGAAGTACCGATTGGCGTACTCCTTGAAGCAGAGTTCGCAGAAGAACTCGGGGAACTGGACGCCCAAGCGACGCAGCTTCTCCGCATTGAAGTTGGAGTCCTTCGCCTGCTGGTGGAGATGCGATGGTAGTTTCCGGGGTGGCGGCACGAAGCTCAGCTCCTCCTGCTCCAGGGTGAAGTCCTCGCGGAATCCCTCGGGCAATTGATAGGGCTTAACCTCCGACTCCTGCGGCATTTCCTGCTTGATGGTTGCTGGCTGCACCGGCTGCTCATTGGGACTTCCCCTCAAGGATTGCGACTGCATGGCTGTCTGGGAGTTGGGCGAGTCCTGCGATCCTGGCTGGGCATCATGCTGCTTGGCCCGATGGCGTCGCATGGCGAAGATGTTGGTGAAGCGCTTCGAGCAGATGTCACAGTGCACCGAGGCCACGGGATTGGATGATCCCCCACCTTGACTTACATCCTGTTTCGCCACTTGAGCCTCCCTCTGCAATTGGAACATCTGACCCATGGAACTCATACCGGGATTGGGATGACCACCGGTGTTGTTGTTGCTACTGGTGATGTTGTTGTTATTGTTGTTGTTGTGGTGGCTGGAAGTGTTGGTCGAGTTGTTGGACTCGCCAACGGGATCGAAGATGCCGTGCTTGTTGGCCTTGTGCGTTTTGAGGAAGTACTTGTTGCAGAACTCCTTGTTGCACAGCTCGCAGTAGGCCTCCGGATTGAAGATCCTCAGCGGCGGACGATTGAGGCCATCGACGCCCGGGAATCCGGACATCCCGAGCAGTGGCAGGTAGCCAGCTGGACCGAGTGCCGCCTCCGGGGGAAAGGGAAAGGCGGGCGGCATTTGGGGGCCGTGCGGATGGTGCTGGGCCTGCATGGCCTGGAACCAGTGCTCCTGCTCCTGCTCCCGCTCCACATCCTTGCCGTGGCCATTCGTCAGCTCCTGCTGCATGTGGTGCTCCTGCTGCGGACTGGGGATCTCGGCTCGCTCCAGCTTCACCTTGATGGAGGCCAGGAAGTCGGCGGGATCCTGTTCTCCGGATCGCTCCTCCCCATGATCCTGCAACATGTGCAGGCTCAACTTGAACTCCGTTTCGAAGCTCTCGCCGCACTGCTTGCAGTAGGTGTGGTAGGGATTCTCGCGCTGCTTGCCGCCCTCTGATATGTCTGGTGTCATGGCTTCCGTTTCCGCTTCCGCTACTGCCTCCCTATCCCTTTCCATTTCCGCTTCCGGTTCGGTATGCTCCTCCTGCTGCTGCTGTTTCTGCTGATACTGCAGCATCTCGAAGGTCTCCTTCAGCTGCTCAATGGACTTGGGCAGAAACATCTTGGACAACTTGTCCTCGTAGTCCTCGGTGGAGGAGTCGGCCCTCCTCTGACCACCACCCACTGCTTCGCCACTCGGCTCTCCACTCAAGTTGAGGGCCTCCAGGCGACTGGGATTGTGCTGCTTGCGCCGCTTCTTGGCCGCATCGCTCAGAGCCTCGAGGAGCTGCAGCTGCATGGCTGCCGCCATTGTGGCCATGTTGGCATCGCCAACGTCCTCCGCCTCCTCCGCGTCCTTGGCCCTTGCCTCCTGCTCCTCTGCCTCCTGCTCCATGGCCTCATTTGTGCCGCTTCCCGCTGGCTTCGTCTTCGTCTTGGGCTCCAGTTCCAGCTCCATTGCATTGACCAAGTGGGCGGTGGTGGGGGAGTTGCCTCCCATTTCCACTCCTGTTGCTCCTCGGGACGCGGCCGTCGTGGCTGTGGGTGTTGCTCCTGCGGCTTCATGGGGATTGTTGCTGCTGCTGTTGCTGTGGCTGCCGCTCGTGTGGCTGTGGTTGTGACTGCTACTGTGGTTGTGGTTGTTCCGGTTCGTGTTGAGTGTCGATGAGTTGGAGACGTCGGAGAGAGCAGTGTCCTCGCTGCTCAGATCTGGCGGTGGGGTGGCATATATGGATGCAGCCATTTTGGATGATATTACTGCGGCGACAGGGAAGAAAAGAGGGAGGGGGAAACATTGTAGTGGATAACTTTTTAATTGAAGTCGAAGCCATGCTAGCGGGGGTTCGACAAAGTGGGAATATGGGATAAGGGTTATTTATATGCATGTACATACTATAATTTAGCCACCATATGTGTGGGTAAAAGCATCTAAATTATTGATTAACTTTAATAGTATTTAATAGTTATTTTAACAAAATATAATATTTAATACAAAAAACTTAGGGAAATGGAATTGTCTGCACTATACAAGTTGCATATATTTAAAAAAATTAACCTTTATCCTTTGAAAATTTATAACTTAATATAACAGTGGAAAACAATTTATTCACAGCTCCCTCTATTTTCCTCGCAGTGTACATAATATATATGCCGAGGCTTAGACCGCATTATTTTTGCAAAAAGCAAAACGTACAGAATATTTGGCCAAGGATTCCATTCAATTTTAGTTTGGCTTCTACTGAATGCCACTCAAATATTTCTCCTGCACACACACACACACACACACAATCGCATAAGCCCGAACGAACACACACGCAGAATATTTGTGTCTCATTTCCGTATGCGCTTAATTTCATTTTTCTGCCTTCTTTTGCTTCTTCTCCATCATCATTATTCCCACCCACCGTACAACCACCCAACCACCCAGCCACCCACTTCCCACACCATTTTGCTGTGGCTACACTTTTTCATTTTTGTGCAAATTCTATGAAAAATTTTTCCATTATATATATATACATATGTATAGCACACACATAGGGAAAGGAAACTTTCTTCTATTTTTTTTCTGTTTGTTTACTAAGCGCCCCAGCTGCCACCCACTAACACACATACACACAACCCCATTGTGGCGCACACGAAAATTTATACAAAGTCATCCGATTTAAGGAATACAAATTTTGCTTATTTTCTTGTGTGTGGGTGTTTGTACGTTTGTGTGTGTGGCGCACACAGAAAACTTTTTGCGCCTTACAGCCACACAAACACACACACACACACATTCAGCCTTTTGCCACCCACTTTTCCCCCAACCGACACCATCACTTGAGTCGAGCATAAAACTTATAAAAATTTTCTTCAACATGACTTGGTAAAATAAATTTGATTCTCAAGAAAAGCAAAAAGGAAAAGAGGCAGGAAAGTGGGAGGTGAGGGGGAAAATGCCTGGCAACAAAAAGGGGCGGAGATACACAAAAAGAAAATGTGATATGAGAAAGTAATTATTGATGTTGTAAGTCACCAAGTGGGTTACTATAAATTTATATTTATTAAAACTTGGAAAAATCGTAAAATGTAATCCAATTATTATAATTAGTATTGAGTGAGCGAGAAGAAAGATATTTTTAAAATGTTAAGTCTTCAAGCTAAACTTAGCAAATCAAAAAGCTGTTAAGCTCTTTAAAAATACTTTACCATAAAGTACTTTTTAAATTTAAAGAAATGTATACTTGTTGATATCTTTTAAAATTATGAACATGGTATATTAACTTGTCAGGCAAGTATTATTATAATTATAAAAATGTTCTCAAACTTAATCGACTTAAGGTAACGCACTGAATTTCTTTCTGTGCAGGAAAAATTTTCGAAATAAACCGAAAATTTCTTTTCCTATTTGAGCACAGGCAAAAGGAGAAAAGCCAAGGAGGAGCAGCGAAAGGGTAGGGGGAAATAAGTTTGTGGGGTTGGGGTGGAAACGGGGGGGAGTAGGCCAAAAGAAAGAAAGAAAAATATTCTCAACTATGCTGCAGACATAAATTAAGTTTCCATGGTTGGAAATTGGTTCTCCAGCTACATGTTGTCGTTGTAGTTGTAGTTGTTGTTGACTTTGCTTTTATACAATTTCTTCATGCCGAACCCCCTGCCCCTTTTAACCCCCAATCCCCTCCCTCACCCCTCCTGCTCCCCGTGACCCCGGACCTGCCACTTTGAGGAGTTAAGCAAAAATGCCTGCCAGGATGTGCGCATTTCTCCTTGGTATCTTTGTGTACTTGTATAAGTGTGAGTATGTGTGTGTGTGTGCGCGAGTGTTGCTTGTGTTTCGGTTGGGATTTTTATAAAGCCTAAGGTAGTTTGATGTTATTTTATTTGATTTTTTTCGCCTGTCTGCCCGCCCGTCTTACCATCTTACATCCATCTCTTCGTGCCAGGAGGAGGATGCCCGAGAAAAATGTTCCAAATGAAAATGCCAACAGAGTGTAAACAAAACCATGTATAGTACTCCTCGACTCCTCGACTCCTCGACTAGGTATACTATACATAGTCAATGTGCATGTGTACTCTGTATATTTTGAGACTCCACAGGAGAAGCGGCTAATTTGGCAAACCAACATATCAAACCCGTTTCGTTTTGGTTGGGGGTTGGAGGTTGGAGGACTCAGAAAATAATCTTGACACTGGCCTAAGGGAAACCAATAACGTCAGATTGGTTTTGCTCCGGACTTGGGATTTATCATGGTAGTTTAGAAGTATTTCATAGAAAATGAATGCCAGGTTGCAAGAAGGACCCTCAAGAGCTAAAGCAAATCTTTAAAATTTGTAAGTAAATGTACTCCAAATTTAAAAGAAATATTCAAGATTTTAAGAAGAAATTTTCAAATATATTTGCCTATTTATAGTTTATTACTATTAAACATAAAACGAATACTATATAAATAGATAAACTTTACAGAAAGTTATTACAAAAAAAAATTCATTTGTGTTGATATTTTTTCCAAGCACTTATTTTAAATGTATATCAGAAGTCAAATTAAAATGATTTAAGTATTAAAATGGAATGGAAGCAGTTTTAACAATCAAAACCCAATTAACAAAATGATTAGTTATCATTTGTTAATTATACCCTAATGATGTATTTATCTCAAGGGAAACACTAATCACCATGTTATTAAATAAATTAATTGATAAATTAAAAGTGTAGTTATTTCAACCTACTCATTAATTAAGTATGTATATTATTTTCGCGATCCGGAATAATGTTTAGTTAATTTGGTTTTATTGTCACTCGTTTAAATGTTTACTGAACATTCTTAAAAGAAGAATTTATTCTTTTGGTGATCACTTGATGATCTCGATTAGTTCGCGTTATGCAAGTCACTTTCGCGCATGCGTACTTTCTGTTCTATTTTTTTGGCGTGTGTCGGGATCGTGTCCTGCCAAGTGGCTGGCTCGTTGTCAACTGGCGCATGACGCAGCGGAATAACAAAAAATATCGGCTATCAATTGCCAGTCGCCGGTTGAAAATCAAAACAGCAAATAGCAATGATACTAAAATCACATCGGCACACACAACCCTAACTTTTCATATCGCTTAATACGCGAGCACACACACACACACAAAGGGCCCCTACCCATATCACCGAAAAAAACCTCAATAAAACACCCCAAAATATCAAAAATCATAGAATTTCCCTTAAAAAAAATCCATTCAGCGACAACTGAGCGGCGCTGCCCGGAAAACCATTATTGCTCCGCCCCTTTGCGTTTTCCTTTTCCTCCTCTCTTTTAGTTTTTTGAAATTTTCAGTAACCACCACAACTATAACTACAACTACAACGAGCGACTACGACTACAAACAAAGGAAAGGGACGACGACACACGAATGAGCAACAACCGCGCAACTTGGAAGGTTTTCCCCCGATTTCATTGTTGCCGTGCCAATTTATCATTGTTCGATAGGATTTTCAATTTGTTTTTCCTACTGCAGAAGTTCGTGTGCCGCCATCGTTGTTTTTGGTTTTTGGATTTTTGTGTTTCGCCAGCGGCAGTTATATTTTTGTTATTTTAATTTATGCACTCCCAATGAAAAGAGTCACAAATTCTTTCGTTGCCTTTCAACTTGCTGTCAGAAAACCCAAACTTCTTGACTTGAGTAGCTAAGAATTAAAACAATATTTTTGTGGAAGGATTCAGGGGTTGTTCGGTGTTTCTTAATGTGAAAATTGGCTAATTGAAGGCTTTTCCGCTATCTGAGATGATCTTGATGCACACCCAGGTAATAATGCCTTTTAGGGATTTCTTTGTAATCTTTTAACAATTTGATTACTTAGGTTGTAAGAAACGCCCAAGATTCCCTTTTCCATCCTAAAGAGTATGGGGGAAATGTACCGTATCAAAGAGGCTTACGACAAAACACTTTTAAATGTATAATAATGCCAGTATAATAATAGCGAAAAAGGTTTGTCATTACAAATTTCATTCAAGTAAAATGAATTGTAAAGGAAGCCGAGTAAATTGGCCAAAGGGTTGATTTACATTAAGTGCCTATTACTTAAGAAAACATATGGGTGTTGGGACAAATTGGTTTTGATTGAGTGTCGTTTCCTCACTCTTTCTTTATAATTGTAAATTAATTGTTAAAAACTCAACCATTACAGATGGAATTCAACTGCCGAAAATAACTTAGCTTCTAAATTGAATTAAAGACGAGTTGACATTTATTGGAGTATTTCAAGTGAATGGTAAATGTTAATACGTCGTATCCGTATTTCTTTTTTATCATAATTCTTTAATAGTTGGCAGATAACTAATCCGGGGACCATATAGGAAATACTGATAAATAAGAATAAACTACCTCTCATAATTACACTATTGTTGTACATAAAAAATTTACTTTTAGTAAAATAAAACACGCGCTCCCTTATTAACTTTTTAAGTTATGAACGAAATTCCCTAGATAGTTTAGATAGGCAGCTATTTATTTATGAAGAATATATAAATTGAATAACTCGAATGAATTGATTCGAATTACGTATACGATCAAGTTAGGGTTCGAGCGCGTCCCTGAAGGGATTAAGATTTGCTTCGGTGGACATCTCCATAAATCTGAGTCATAAACTCTCCCCAGAGAAGCGGCCAGTGATTGTTTGCCTGGGCCGATTGACGGATTGACTTACAGATACTTGTACCTCAAAGGACATGCCTGCTGCAAGTGCATGTGTGTGTGTGTGTGTGTGTGTGTGAGTGTGGGTCCAACCTTGGCCACCCCTTTTCCGTTTGCCATTCGGCATTCAACACACATCAGAGGCCGAAAAAAAGTGAAAGTTACTTCCCCCCCTCATTTCCCCCGATGTCCTGCTGGCGTCCTTTTGGATCTGCGCCTGCGCAGTGGAGGCGACTCTCTTTTTTTGGAGCAGCCGGTCATATGTGTACGAGTGTGGCTAGAAAATCGCCGGTTGAACGAACCAGGCTAGCAAAATAGTCCAACAGCAACAGTCGGAGCGAGGCAGTTGGCAACTCATTGGTCGGCAACTGAATCGAATCGGATCGGACTCCAAATGGACCCCCTGCTCCCCTTCCACCGAGTAACCACCCACTTGGTCTGGTCTATTTTGACCTGGTCGCCGTCGTGGTCGTGGTCAAGGTTTTCCCACCGACTTTCACTCTCACACATGTCCACTGTGACGTTGTCCTCGCCGGCACTTTCACTTTCGCTTTCACTCTACGCTACTCTACTCTACTCTGCTCTACTCGACTCGACTCGAATCACTCGCACGCACGCATCGCCCCAAAAGAGGCGCTTCCCCCTTTCGTAAGCGCATGTCCTTGCGGGAAGAGCAATGTAAACAAACCGCTAATGTCGCGGTCAACTCAATCAAAACCAAAGGGGTTTAGTATATCCTTTCTTTAAAATATTCAATCTTTTCAATCAATTTAAACTTTAAAGATTTTTTAAGACTAGTGCTTTCTCGTATTTTGATTAACAATAAAAGATGATTAATTAGGGAGGGCTATTTTTATTATTATTATTATAAAATGTTATTTTTAAATATCAGATATGTAAACATAACATTACTTGGAAATGTTTTTCAGCGGTAGGTAATAAAAAAATATTAGCTGAATTAATATGTTTGTGTATATGTATAACAAGTATATAGTAACCCGTTGAATAAATATAATAGCTTAAAACATGTTTACAATAATCATTTTGAAGTGTTGTAAAGTTTATTTCATTATTTCGACACCAAAGTATAGGGGTTTTAGAAATATAACACCCGCCTTTCTGGTTAGGTACCAAAATGGTAATTATTAAATTTAAATTCAAACCGAGCCCAACCTACTTTGCACCCTTAAACCTGCGTGTCCTGAAGAGCTGTCGGTTATGACTGATACGCCCCTTTCAGCCCATATGCCACACTTACACCTACACACGACACACAAGTAGGACTGACAGGACACCCCCGCCCAGGATGTGGTGTGTGGACTGCAATTAATATTTCTGATGAAAATCAAATTGAAATTATGCATGGACTCAAAAATGGAAATGGAAAACGGGAGTAATAATAATGAGCCAGGGAATTGGGAAATCAACCCTCAACCCGGGAGTAATGATCTCTGTTAGTTTTTCTTGTTCTGCGGGGGAGGAATTATTGAGGGGGGATTCGATGTCGCGTCTCTCGGAAAATGTGTGCGACAAATTACTTTATTAGAAAAACGTAGTGTACGTGAGATTCTGCTCAGTTTTTTTTTTTTATGTCCAAAGATTGGGGTGTTACTTTGAAGTCTGTTTGATTAGGAATTCATTGGTTCAAATAAGTCCTTCGAGTGGGCGTTCCAATGAGGAATACAAATTAGTAACGCAGATATATCGGAGGAACATATATACAATATTAACAAAATATTATTTATCTTCTTTAGTAATAAGCACCCTATGATTCATCAATGCCTCGTAGTACTGAAATGTTAGTTGCGAGTCTTGATTACTGATATGCCATCATTATAATTATAACTAGCTTTTAATTGGTATCAAATAACTGTAGGTCATCTAAGAAATATAATGACCATAATGAAATAACGCATTTCCCATAATTGAAAACGAAAACCTGCTTAATTCTTCAGAAGTCGTAATCATGTGAAATGTTAGGAATAAGAAGTAAGTCGGGACAATTTCGTAGAATTTCATTTTGCTTTGACGCAGAAGCAAAATCCTTTTCCCAAAGCCTAAGAAAAACGAATGAAAAAACCGAAAAACATTTCCAGTTTCTATGTTCCCTGCTCATTAGTAAGAAATCTCATTAGAAACCAATGAACGCGCAGGGAAAATAAACAAACAAACACGTATTTATTGGGAGGGGGTGGTGAAAATCCTTGTAATGAGTGCTTCGAAGGCCTCAAAATCGTTCACCGTTTGATATTTTTCCGTCATTTTCACTTTCACATCTCCATGGCGCATGGGCCACGAAGTGAAAAATTAATTTCCCCCAACCTTAACATTTCCCACACACACACAGAACCTATTTTCCGACCAACCGAAAAGCGAAAAGCCAACAAAAACTATTTCCATCTCTGTCGAGCACTAAAACTTTTTTCTATCAAATATTATTTTGTACAATAAACTAAATGCGTGTGTGTGTATGTGTGCGTTCCACCCCCTGTGCATGTGTGTGCGTTTGTCTGTGATAAAATAAAAATACGAAAAATATGAAAAAACGAGGAAAATTAATAATGAAACTCAAACACAGAGACAAGGACAAATGCTGTGCACATAAGCCAGGCGCAAATTCGTGTGTGTAGAGGAAATGTTTTGGGAGCGGGGTTATAATAATCATGTTTATAATAAGGCAAGTGTTTCTTCCTTGGTTCTAATGAGACACAGACTATAGTCGTATTCCTTATCTTCTGTCTTATCGGCATGATGAACTTTCCGCACAAGCCACCCCCCGAAGTATGCAGCAAAATATTTTGCAAGAGAAATCTATCGTCCGAGAACTTTTCATCCGAAAAAAAATAGAGAATACAAAAGCAGAAAAAAATTCCATAAATTCTAGCTTCTTCTTCCTCAAGCGCACACACACACCCACGCAAACAATCAAAAAGAGGGGGAGAAGTTTGCAATTTTATCAGAAATACACACACAAACACACATATATTCACAGTCAGGGAAAACCACCACCCCACGCCTCCTTCTGGCCCCCGAAGCGAGTTTATGAAACCATCAAATTATTTTCTTTTCCATTTCTGACACTCAAAAGAAACGGCAAACATACAGAAGGAGGGATGAATGTGGGCGGGGTGGGTGGTGGTCTGGGGGGTGTGTGCTTTCGGAGAAAGCAAGAAATGAAGGAAAAAAGGGAGAAAAAATTATTATTTTCCAGTTACAGTCGGCTTGGTCTCCATGGTGGCCCTCCTTTGGCACATCCTTTACATTATTTTCCTGCTGCTGCTCAAAGTTTTTGCCATGTGGCCCCGGCCCCCCGGAGGCCCCCACTTTTTCCTTAACCCATAATGCCTGCGGGTTACATTTTGCCCAGTTTGTGTGTGTGTGTGTGTGTGCAGCTACTTCGTCTTATTCGAGTACGAAATTTTTATGAGAAAATGCCTGACTGAGGAAGAATGTGTGTGTGTGTGAGTTACTGGGCTGTATATCAAAATATTTAAAAGCAAATATAATATTGGGGGAGGTGGGTGGCCTCAGTCTGTACGTGTGTGTGTTTGTGTGTGTGTCTGTGTTTGCCTAGCTGGAATTCGGGCAAAGGCGTAATAGAAAAACACTTAAGCCAACCCCCATCCCCTGCGCCCTGCGAAATATCAAAATGTAAAAAAAATCATACACACACACACATATATATATACAGATGTATACAAGTATATACTTATATTAATAATGAGCCGCAGCGCCAGCGCAAAGAGAAAATGAGAAAAAAGAAAAATATTCGCTTTGCGAGTGTGCAAGTGTGTGTGTCTGTGTGGAATTTATTGATTTTCAGCGAATAAATATCGCCGGAGGAGCACATGGCAAGTGACTTAATATCAGTCGGCTGGATATTTACAATGGACACATGCAAAACGCATATCATACGAGAATATATTGAAATTGATTTGGCCTGCTGACGTTGCTATATGCTATATGTTATCGTTGAAATTTTTATATTTTTATTGTCAGTCGCAGTCGCATTAAAAATACTTAATCTCCGACGGCCCAGTTATTGCCTCCGCCCTGTCATAAAAAGTGGGTGGTGGTAACTGCGGCCGGCATTTTAATCATGTCCATATCGAAAATTTTACTTTATCACAATCCCGAGCCGGGCATATTATTATTTGGCTCGTTTCAGCTTTTACGTTATTAGCACCCGTAAGGGGACCTCGTGGCGTATGCTCGATGTGCGATAAAACCCGTGAGCTAATGAGACTTTTTAATAAATTGCCCCATTCCGGCTGGCCCCGTTTTTAGTACAATTTTCATTATTAATAAAACTTTATGACATCTATATCAGGCATTGTGCATTTTTGTTTCATAAAAAAAGGGAGAAGGCAGCGAACGCCACACACATCCCCCATTTATTATTCCAATTAAATTTACCAACTTCGTTGGTCATTGTCTCCGTGGGCGCGTGGATGCGTCATGGCATCTATCAAAGTTTGCATCTATCATTTTGGACTTGCTACTTTTCGAAAATATTACTTTTCAATGTATGTTACAATTATAAATGATAGGTGTGGGCAGGTATAGCATACCTTAAATCTTTAAAGTAAAAATGTTTTGGAGAGGCGATTTTAACAAGTTAAAAATAAAGGATATAGAAAGGCGAATTAACAAGACAATTAAATTCAAGGCAAGTGTACTTTTTCTTTTTTTCTAAAATGTCTTATCTAATTCTTTTCTGAAAAAACGTTATACATTTTCTAAATAACAATAATGCCCCAGCTAATCACTTTTATAACAGTGTATGAAATTATAGTTAATATTCAGAACTATAATTTCAGACAAACTATTTAAAACTATTTTAATTCTTGAAAAGTCTAAGTAAGTAAAGCTTAAAAGTTAAAATAAGTTTAAAATCTGGTTTTCTAAAAAAGACATCTGAAAGATTCTATTATTACTAGTAAATAATATTATGATTTTTGATTTTATAGTATACATACATGCATATATTGTGTTATTTATGAATGGGAAGATTTAAGAAGGAGATTTTATAAGGAAGTGCAGTCATTTAGTTTCCATTGCCCTTTTAAATGGATCTTTTAAATAATTAAAGGATGGAAAATGAAATGAGCTACACAAGGTATAAAAAGAAAAGCATTCGAAAGCATTTAGCAAACACATTTTTTAATTTTTGCCAATTTGAATTAATTTCGATTCCATTTTTTTCCAAGCCAATTGTGATTTTGTTTGTGGTTTAAAGTGGCCAATGCTAGCGGGCAAAGTTCAATAATCCGGTTATGTATATATTAGTTTGGGTTACAGTTTTCGTAGCTGGGACTCACAATGTCTCTGGCCAGAGAGAGCATCTTTAATCCTAAGTGTAAACTTTTGCGAAAATAAACGCGCATCGAACGGAAACTCCTTGGATAAGGCATGTTTTGGGCTAGTATCAAATTTGTTGATTAACTATTACTTAATTAGTTTTTGTTAACGTTTAAAGCACTTTTTGGGTTTTTTTTAGCACAGCGTTTCTCGTTATAAAAATACAAAACAAGCTTGGTTATCCTTGATTAATTTTGATGTGTTGCCACCACTTTTTGATTGTTATTGGCTTACAAATCCTCTGGTTTTGTCACTCATTTCGAACACTTTGGACACTGAAATCGGCAGATTGCTAATTGCATTTGTTTGGCTTTCATTTGCTTCTCGTGGATTTGGTTTGATTTGATTTGATTTTGTTGCAGCTGGAAACTTACAGAACTTGTACAGGGCGTTACACTTATTTGATCATGCCGACAAGTCCAAAACGACGCTGTGGTAGCCACCCGCGGCTACTTCTGCACCACGTACGCGTTTTCTGTAGACTGACTCGGCTTTTCCGTTTTCCCAATTGCCAGCCTGCCGCCAAAGGATGCGGACACCCACACTCAAGCACTCCGCAGAGAGAGCGAGAGTCCGCGAGAGAAACCACCCTCAGAACCACCCCCCAACCTCCAGCGGGCAACGCTCTGTTGCTACTTTGTTTACTTCCCGCCGCGTGGGCGTTCTACGGACAAAAGAGCGAAGCCGCGGGATTAGTTGAGGAGGGGGTGGTGGTGCTGGGCAAAACATGTGCTAACCTCTTCCACTGACACTATTTTTGGCGCCCAACGCGGGGATTCGGACTGAAAGTCAATATTGTTGCCTACTTATTCGGGTATTTTAAATTTTTAAGTCTTAAAAATTTACAAGAACAAAAAACGTAAAAAGGATTTGTTACAGAGTGTATGCTACAAAAACTATCCTACAGAAAATAATCTTATTTTGACTTAAGAAATAAAATATACAATTCTTTCTGATTTTTAAAAGTTCTTTAGTTTTACAGTTTTATGAAAGAAAAAACCCACATGGGATACCATTTATATATACCTACACATGTTTATATAATTTATATAGTTATGATAAAAAACATTTTAAAAATGAAATAAACTTACTTTGGACATCCATATACCCGAAATAATTTGTCCCCTACCTTTCAAAAAACCTTTAATAAAGTTTACAAAATTTTAAAGTAAATCTTTAAAATCTTCAATGAAGTATACAAAATTAAAAACGATTGTTCTATACCCATGTCATATTTATATGTATGCAGCGCGCCCACTTGATGGATTCGCAGTAAAAGCACACACCTTCACAAGCACTAATCCTACCCTCCGCTCACAGGACATGCGTATTAGCTACGAGAAGAATAAAAATGCCACTCGGAGAATTCGCTCTCCGGACCGTTTTTTGTTGTTGTCGCTAAAACAGTTTATCAACACGACCGAGTCTCTGATAAAACAATCATCGTTTATGGTGCAACACGCTTCAACCGCCGCCCCCCAGCAGCATAATTGAGATATAGTCCAGTGACCAGACCAGTAACATCGAGTCGGGGTGGCTAACGCCGAATCGAGTGGAGTGGAATGGCCAGGAGGACGGGCAGAAGTGGTTGGAGTGAAGTGGAGTGGATTCGAGTGCAGAGTGGTGTGGACATGTTCTGTAACCGCATGATTAGAAATCGAGTAAAGCCGATGACAAAGTGGCGGGAGCAACTGAATCATTCATCGAGTGGAAAGAGAAGTCGGGGTCTGTGGGTGCGGGTGGGTGGGTTGTCAAACTAGGTTAAACTCAAACCCTTCCATTCAAATTTTCGGTTAATGATTTTTGAGCTGGTTTATGACAAACAATATCAATGCAAAGGCGTAACCTGCGTGCCACTCGTTTAACTGCCTTTCCCGCCCCGCTTGGCGCTCCTTAAACGGCTGTTCCCCTCGGAAAACCGAGCACGCGGCGGAAATGAGAGGGCATAGTTTTCGCATTTTCCTTTAAATTACAAAGCAAAACTAAAAACAAGAAAGTACGTTTCAGAAGAGCAAGTCGACGCGACGAGTACCCTTTGTAAGCATTCTTTGGCGAATCATGTTTTAATGAAATAAAAAAATTAATTTTAATTGTAATAAAACTCTGACTAAGCTCTCTTTAAGTAAAAAGTAATATATATTTTTTAAATAGAACTACAAAGATAAATTTATCTTTTCTACCTCCTATAAACAATTTAAACAAGTCTAAGAAACAGAATAGAAAAACTTAAAACTATGTACAAATTTTCTCAAAAAGTATTAAAAACGGCTAAGTTTTTTAACACTAAGTATGCAGGTAAATTTACAGAAATTAAACAATTATAATTCCTTAATTTAAAAGGTTTCCTATTGCTCAAAAACTTAAAATGTCACATAAAACCTTACACAAGCCGGAGTTATTGTTTTGGGTTAGGGTATGCATTACAAGTAAAGACGAATGAGAAATCAAATATGCGCTTAGCACGATATATTCAAATTTTTTACGTTTCCTGCCGCCCCCGAGGACAACGGATTTTTATTTGAGTTTTTATATGCCATATAAAACAGGACTGTGCGTCAGTACGATACTTTTCAATAAAAACCCCAATCCTCCGCGGCGGGTGGCTTTATTTATCGCCCTTGCTGCTGCTGGAACTCTTGCGTGGGCGGTGCTGCAACAGCTCCTGGTATTGCTCAATGGACCCATCCTCGTGCTTGGAAGTAAACGAAGCTGGCTTTTCAACCTTGGCCTGTTCCTCGCTGGCGGCCACTTTGCTGCGCTTTGATTTCCTAAGTTTATCGCGTACGCGTTTTCCCAGTCGGGATTCTGCCAGCACCTGGCTGACTTTGGAACTCTTCATGTAGCGTGAGCGCCAGGACTAAAAAATTCAAAGGGTTATCGGAATGATTAGTTAGGTTATTGATTTTGTGAGCATTCAAAAATACCTCTGAGTCTGGCTGCTGTAGCTTGTCGCGCTCATCTTCGCTGGTGTCCAAAGAGATCACATCGTTGTCCATTTCCTCGGGCTCGGGCTGCTTGTCCTTTTTTTCGTTTTTAATGCTCACCGAAGGTGGCTCGTCCTCCTTGGTCATTTCCTCAATCATTTCCAGATCACCGCCTATTGAAATGACATCGTCGTTTTGATCTTCGTCATCGATGTTTGCTGGTTCGGATACAGTCGCTTCCCTTTCTTCTGCAGGAGGGTTATGAATTGGTGAGGGAACTTTCTCAGCAGACTGATCTTTATCCGAAGGTTTTTCACTGCCTTCAGACTTTTCCTGGTCTTCAGGTTTAGTTTGTTCTTCGGTGCATTCAGTTTCTTCCGGTTTGGTTGGTTCGTTATCCTTGGCCGGATCTTCTGGCTCTGCTGGCTTTTCGGCATTGGCTGGCACGTCGGGCTCATCACGCACCTCTCCTTCCTCCGGTTCGCTTTCTACGACTGGAGCTGGTGGATCTACTTTGACTGGCTCACTAGAACCACTTGACTTTTGTTTTGTGCCCTCATCATCTGTGCTGTCGCTGATCAGCAGTGTTTCCGGCTCCGTTTGAATGGTAATAACATCTGGCGAAGCAGAACGTGATTTGGAACGTGAGGGTTTGCTGGAATCCTTGTTTGCCACTGAAGTTTCGGGAACAGCAGGAGCGGGAGGAGTTGGACCTGCAGCTTCCTTTTCAGGCGTTTTCGAGGTATGCCGATAGTTTCGCTTGATTTTTATTTTCTTGCGCGGTGCTTGCTGTTCCTTGCTGCTGCTATCCGCATCTGCCTGTGAAAGAGATGCGGCTACTTTGGGAGTTTTATTTTCCAGCGACTTGCGCTTTGCCGAATCCTTCTTGGTACTCCGCTTCTCCTTTCGCTGATCCTTTCCCGCTGGAATCTCGTCTTCATCATCCGACTTCACCTCTATCTTGGTGATTGGCTCCATGGCAAGTTGGGAACGGATTGCACGGGCGCGGGCCTGAAGCTCCAGTAATTCCAGCACGCTCATCTGACCGCCAGCTGAAGAAAAGAAAATCAAACCTTAGCAACCTTAGCAACTCCACAGTCAAATGGCCAGATGATTTATTCACAGTCAATATCATGAGTTCATTTGATGTTGTTTAGTCGTTTCTTTTTGTAAAGTTTGTACTCACACTCCTTGTTTTCGGTCCCATTGATACCCTTTTTGGCTCTAAGCTTCTTTTTGCCTGAAATTCAGATAAGATAAAGACAGATTACATTTAAAATTGTAGGTAAAGTAGAACTTAAATTAACTGCACGCCAGAATGCCGGTGGCCCAGCAGGAACTGCAGTTGGATAGCCAGACTAATGAAGAGGGAGAGGAGGAGGAGCAGCCGGAGGACGAGAACCGACTGGACAAGTTCACCGTGAGGCTCAATGGGCAGCATGACCTGGAGCAGCGTCTAAAGGAATTCAAGGCGGCCTGCGAGGCGCACGACAAGCATTCCAGGCGGCGAAAACGAAGGCGCTACTACCATCTGGGCTTAGTGGCCAAACTGGTGACAGAAACCACACACGACGAACTGCGTCGAATGCTGGAAAATGGGACCTACACCTTCCACGTCGACACGGTGGCCAACAAGCCAGACGAACTGCAGGCCATCTTGGACACCATGAACATCGCCATATCGGCCTACTCTTCCGAAAGGGAACTGCCAATGACCACCGGCCTAGCGCTCGAAATAAACGGGGAGTGCTGCCGCGTGGGGAGAATGAGAAACAACTGCTCCGTGATGATGGCAAGGGGTGCGGTGGTTACACTCACTACCGATGACGCCTACCGCTACAAGGGCTTCAAGGAGATCTTCTACGTGATCAACCTGAAGGCTTATCTTCCCTCCGTGCAGCTTAACGATATTGTGCTTATCGGCCGGGATGCTAGGGGTCGAGTGGTGAAGACTTTGCGAGAGGCCCTGGCCGTAATGATCATCGACGCAGGTGTCGTGGCGCCCTACGATTTTATAGAGCTCCCAAGGCAGTGTCATTCCCTGGATCCCGAGATCTATCCGGACCTCTTCATGAAGGATCTTGAGATGGCCGCGTCCCTAAACGCAAACTACGTGGTGCTGCCAAAGATTCGCTGCAAGAATTTTCTTCGCGCCGTGCGACAGGAGCTAAACTCTAGCTTTGGCAACCTAAAGCTGATCGGAATGATTGACTTTGAGTATGTGCGGAGCAACATGCTGGATCTGCTGGGCATCATTAAGTTGGTGGACTACATCTGGATACCAGACATGTTCAGCGTACACTGCTGCGTGTACAACTACATAATGGACGACGTGCTGCCCATTTCGCACTGCCAGAAAAAGCCGGTGATTGGCACAGTGCCGCTGGAGCGGTGCAGTGACTTCAAGCGGTTCGAGTTGCACGAGTTCCTTTGGAAGATTGATGCCATTCACATCCAGAAGAGTCCGTGGTGCAACAAGTATCCCCTGATTGTCAAGAAGCTAATGCCAATAAAGGATTACCGAGTTGGTGTCGTCCAGAACAAGATGGTGCTCAAGAACATCCTGACCTCCTACCAAACGATCGTGAACTTCATCATTCGCACAATAAGTTCCATAGAGTGCCAAGCCATTTTCGTGTACACCACGTGCGAGACGGCCAGCGTGGCTCTTTCCCGTACTGAGATCTACTGCCCGGTTTACTTGATGATGCCTCTGGAGGATACGGACGATGCTGATACCATTGCCTGCAAGGTGGAACTGGCACGTGCGCTTCACTTGCGCAGAAATATGCACCCGGTCCTCTACACCAAGGAACTTAACGAGTGCAATTACAGTCCGATTGAGTTCGGCGTGGATTTCATGAGGAAGAAGGGCTGCCTGGAGGTTGGGGATTTTGTTGTCACTCTGGAAGTGGCCAAGGAGGACAAGGAGAACGTGGTCATTGGCATAGGCGATGATGTGTGCATCCTGCGAGCCTTCTACGTGTCGCCGCTTTTTGCGTGCGAGAAGTTCAAGTACGGCGGCTAACTTGACGGCGTGCAGTTGTGCAGATTACACTTGTAAACCAGCTCAAAATTAAATGTAAAGTTTTTAACTACTCACTCTTTCGGGATTCCTGACCGCCGATGTCACTGTCTGAGGAAATCTCCTCTAGAGAAATGTGTTCTAAAAAGAGAGCTCCATAAGAGGGTGTCTTCTTGGATTAAGAATTTTTGAACTTACCCTCTTTGCGCTCTACATCGGAGTCTTCGGAGCTTTCCGTGTCCGTGGGACACCGGGTGCCTTCTATAATTGATTTCAGGCGTTTGGTGGACAGGCAAAGCAGCTCCTCCAAACAGAGTTCCTCGATCTCATCCAGTGGGGTTTTCTGTGGATAGTGATTTAGTGATTTGTCTTAACATTTTTTGTTTCTTATCCAACCTTTAAGAACTCCGGTGCTAGATTCATAATCGTTTTCGGTTTTAGGGTCCCAAATATCTGTTTTACCAACTCCAGACGGTCGTCTATGTAATGGGAAATAGGGTGGAGCGTGCGGTCCTCCTCCATCTTTTCCTTTTTTATGCTAATGGGCTTGGGGATTTGGTCACCCTTGCTGTGTTTTTTCGATTTGGAGCCGCTCATTTTACCCAATTTGTTGACAAAATAAAAACCAAACAATTGTCGGTCTTGCAACCAGCGTTGCCACTTCGATGAACGACCTTTTGAACAGTGGGCTGATATCTGTTGTTTGGTTAATATTCTTTCAAAAATAATATGTTGATTATTTCAAATAATTCTTATACAAATGAAAAATCAAATTTATGCTCTTAAGTACTCAATCTTCTAAGTATCACATGTACTTTTAGGTTTTAAGCGCTTTTTACAAGTGAATTTTACCAATAATTTCACTTAACAAGGTTGGGTGACCATGAAATGAAATACATTTAATTATAACTGTAATTACTATTGATAAAATTATCCAGTGAAAACCAATTATTTTAAGCAAGTAAGACTTTAATTTATATAATTTTAATCCTAGGAAAACTTAGTCCATCTTTGTTTACATCTACATCTAGCTAAATATTCAATGTATTTTTTCCACTGTGAACTGTTGTTAACAGTGTTATTGTTGTTCTGAATGAAACAGCTGTTTCAAGAGCCGTCCGGCTAAAAAATTTAGTTGAGTGTCTCTTGGCAGTAAATTATAAGGTAAGGACTTAAATAACTGTGACTTTTAATTGAGTGAGAAGTGAGTTATTATAAGGCCGACGAGAGCATAGGAGTGGTCATGCGATAAAAGCTTAATTAGGAAAAATAATTGTGTACAAAATTGGTTACGCACAGAAATGTTAATTTTGACAGGCTAATAGTTTCGTGCTGTGATATACAATAAAGTGAGCTGTTGACTATTAAAATAACTAGAAAGTAGTGGAATTTATACATATTTACAAATGAAATCTCATTTGTTTTTGTCTTGACATGCCGCCTGAAAGTAATAGCCACACCAGTCAATGTTAAGTAACAGTGGGGGCATATTTAGGGTGATTTGTTTAAGAAGGAAATTCTCACTGCCCTGCCACGGTCACACTGAACATATGTTCCGGGAGGAATGGCTGCGATTTCGCGTCGGTAAAAATAGCAAATACTCGTTGATGTGCTGCGGGAAAGCCTCCTCCCCGGCCCCAAAGTGGCCCCAAAAACAGAGTGAGCAAATGTGTGCGCGGCAAGATAAGAACGATAGTGAAGATAGCGCTTAAAATAAAATACAAGCCTCCCCGCAATTACGATGTCGCGCAGCGGCAATAACACAACACTGGACCTTCAGCCGCTCCTGGCTGACAACGATGACAACAGGGATCAGGAGGAGAAGATCGGAGGATCGGGCGGTGGAGCCCAGCTCAATGGATCCAACTCAAAGGAGCTGGGCCACCGGGAACGAGAGGACTCGGCGCTGTTCGTCAAGAAAATCGGCAGCGCACTGTTCTACGGACTTTCGTCCTTTATGATCACGGTGGTGAACAAGACGGTGCTGACCTCCTACCACTTTCCCTCGTTCCTGTTCCTTAGCCTGGGCCAACTGACCGCCAGCATTGTGGTTCTGGGCGTGGGAAAACGTCTAAAACTTGTGTCCTTTCCGCCCCTGCAGAGGAACACATTCGCCAAGATATTTCCACTCCCACTGATCTTCCTGGGAAACATGATGTTCGGGCTGGGCGGCACCAAAACACTGAGTTTGCCCATGTTTGCGGCCCTACGGCGCTTCTCCATCCTGATGACCATGCTGCTGGAGCTCAAGATCCTGGGTCTAAGGCCTTCGACGGCGGTCCAAGTCAGCGTATATGCCATGATTGGAGGAGCCCTGCTAGCCGCCTCCGATGACTTGTCCTTCAACATGAGGGGCTACATCTATGTGATGATCACGAACGCCTTGACCGCCTCGAACGGTGTGTATGTGAAGAAGAAACTGGACACCTCGGAGATTGGAAAGTACGGCCTGATGTACTACAACTCGCTGTTTATGTTTCTGCCCGCCTTGGCTCTTAATTATGCCACAGGAGATCTGGACCAGGCTCTGAACTATGGGCAATGGAACGACTCGGTGTTCGTACTCCAATTTCTGCTCAGCTGCGTCATGGGCTTCATCCTGTCGTACAGCACCATCCTGTGCACGCAGTTCAACTCGGCGCTGACCACCACCATCGTGGGCTGTCTGAAGAACATCTGCGTGACCTATCTGGGCATGTTCATTGGCGGCGACTACGTCTTCTCGTGGCTCAACTGTATCGGGATCAACATCAGCGTGCTGGCGAGTCTGCTGTACACGTACGTCACTTTTCGGCGGAAGCGGGCGCCCGATAAGCAGGCCCATTTGCCCAGCACCCGCGGCGAGAATGTCTAGCTTCGTCTTAGCTCAAACTCAAGCCAAAGCCATACGATATGTTTAGCGTATTCCGTACTACGTACTTCGTTCTGCGTTCTGCGACTTCGTATTCGATTTTCCTATAGCCACACAGCGCATCGTCTCTGTACATATATCTAGCTATGTATCTCAATAAGTGCAATTTAGCAATTTTGTAATTTTAATCACTTTGTACATTTGTCCGCATGCAACTGTTTCCTGCATCGAAAGTGTCATAAGTAATAGAAATACACAGACATCAAACTCCTCCTCTGCAATGGGTGGGCCAGATAACTGATTGTGTTCTGTCTTATTTTGGGTCACTACCGATAAGATTGCCTCTCCCCGATAAAGTCTACAACTCGCCATTTGTTAATTAAGAAAAATAATGCTCTCAAACTTATAATTAGCTTAAGGTGTAAAATAGAAAATCTTGGAACTTGCGATGCGGGAAATTTCAATTACTTGTGCTTAATCGGGTGTTTATCTGTTCTGGGTAAACACGCTGGAACCTTGAGAACCCAACAAAAAAAGTACTGCAGTGCTGGGCAAACCAGCAGCGTCATCACTCAACATCAAAACGCAGAAAGCAGTCGGAATACATTCACAGGTTTGGCCGATTCCCGGTTACACTTTATCGGAGCTCGTGTTTTTATGTTGAACTAAAAAAAAAACAACAAAATTATCAGTCAAAGAGATAGATTGCAGGGCCTCATAATATAATTTTTATTAGAGCTCCTTTAGTTTTGGGCAAAGTTATTTTCCGTTTCACTTGTTGATTGCCGAATAATAGACTTTTGTTTAGAGCAATGAATTGTATTGTTAAACCATTTTTTGCTTTGTAGAGAAAATAGATTTGCACAGCTGAAACTATTCAACTGTCTCTTAAATAAATATATGCTTTTAAGATGGGCATCTATTTTCTAAGAACCAGCATTGCTTAGAGACTACCTCAGCTATTAAAAACTTAGGATCATAAATTTTGCAAGACTTAGCTTAAGCACCATTAAACTTCTTATACATTTTGCTTTTAACAGCAAATGTCTTGTCATAGCGTTCTAAAATTACCTTTTTTACTTGCTTATCAATGACTACCCATTTGTCCAAAAAGACAACAATGACGACATTGAAATCAAGCATAAAATCGAAGAATGAGGTGCCAGTGCCCCCTAAAGCACTTTGTTTAGGTTTTATTTTGGGACCCAGCAATATCGATAGGTGGCGGTCGAGGGATTCGGAGAAGTGGGGACCGGTAATGAGGAAGCCGAAACAGGTTTACAAAGATTGTGAGGTAAAATAAATTGTTAGTCAGCATCAGCACTGTCCGCGTACCCACATTATGGACAAATTGTTTGCTCATATTCGCCGCTATTGAAAGTGGGCACGTACGACAAGCTTTAACCGAAGACAGGTAGTCAGGGTCATGTTTATGTGCGACGACGATGATGATGATGATGATGCCGACGATCGTGCTGATAAGGTCACCGGGTGCCTACTCTATGAATCCACAGATCATCATGATGCAACGCTGCTGGCGTCTCCCAAAGCCGCTGGCCCTGCGACGAGGCCTCAGTTCAAACCAGGTTAACAGCCAAGCGGTGGCCACAGAAACCCCTGAGGCGGAGCCTCTGGATGCCTTCGAGAGGCAGTACCTCAGGGAACGCATCGAGATATCGCCCTTCCAGCGGGTGTTCCTCGGAGCAGGATCATCCATTGCCGCTCTGCTTGATCCAAGACGGTAGGGTAACTAAGTTGTACAGAAAATGCCTGAATATACCTCTGCTGATCCTTTTTTAGCCACGACATGATCGCCTGTTTGGGTGAAACGACCGGAGAAAGTGCTCTCTTGAATATCTTGGACACCATGCAAGCCAGTGAGGAGGGTCAGCGCATCATGGCCGACAAGCCCCGCATCCACACCAGCACCATTGACTTTAAGCGACTGGAAACTTTGCCACCAGATACTTTTGGAGCCGCTTATGTAAAATTCCTGAAAGGCAATGTAAGTAATGTAATGTAAAATTAGAAGAACGAGAGTTTGACACACATCACGTACTGAAATCTGAGTCAAAAAAATTCTTGTTAGAATAAGTAAACAAAATCTATTTAAAGATATTTGTGGGGAAAAGGGGTTGGGTCTAATTTAATCTCTTTTTGAAAGAGGTAGTACAAAATATCAAATCTTTTGTTTTGCCGAGCAATGTGTTTCAATATACAATTTTAAGAAACAAATGTGCATAGAGATGATAACAGACCTTTTTTTGAACAATTGTTAAATTTTCTTTTTAAATAAGAAACAAAAATTTCTAATAATATATGGCTGTGGGGTTTTAGCAATCAAATCAGTAATAATTTTGTAAACTAACTTTTAGCAAGTCACGCCGGACAGTCGCATGGCGGTGAAGTTTCTGGAGGACCCCAAATTGGCCTATCTGATGACGCGGTACCGGGAGTGCCACGACCTGATCCACACGGTGCTCGACATGCCCACCAACATGCTCGGCGAGGTGGCCGTTAAGTGGGTGGAGGCTCTGAACACTGGTCTGCCAATGTGCTATGGAGGCGCGGTGTTCGGAGCGGTGCGCCTACGTCCCAAGTGAGTTCAGTGAACTGAGGTCTTAAATTACGCTTCCATTCACGCATTTGTTTATTTTTCATGTGCTTAGGCAGCGTCGCGCGTACTTGAAAAACTATTTGCCCTGGGCCCTGGAGAACGGCAAGCGGACCAAGCCCTTGATGCCCATCTACTGGGAAAAGCGTTGGGAGCAGAACATCCACGATCTGCGCTCCGAACTGGGCATTACTGTGTTGAATAAAGCTTGATAAGGCGTTTTATTTTAAACTTATTTTTGAACTGGGAATATCGATTTTGACTATCGATTACATAGATCGAGTGAAAAATTCACAAGATGGCAATTTTTTTTTTTAAAATACTTAAATTAAAATTTTAGAGTCTAGTTTGGTGAAGTCATTGCTCGTAAATTTCCCCTTAGTGCTAATTTATTTTAAATATATGAATAAATAGAGCGGTGCAAAGGCCATATATTTAAAAATGACTTCATAATTACTAATCGATCTGGCAACGCCATGTGATCTGTTTGCTCTTGCTGATGTGTTGTGTTTTGTTTGTTGATCGACCGTCGTTAAATGGCAAATTATCTTTAATTCCATTACCATGACTGCGAACTTCAATGGGTTTAGCCACGACGAGATCCTCAAGATAACTGGCGTAAAGGAGGGCGGCGTGGTCAAAAAGCCTGCGAATCTAGATGCAGGTAAGATCACCATGAATGAACCACGAAGCGTGTAAACAATTATCTGTTTATAATAAAAAACGCTTGCATGTGTGTGTGCGTGAGCAGCTAAGCAGGCGCTCCGGAATCAACCCGGCATACGGCGGATGCCTGATAAGATCTTCCGTCAGGCTGATCAGTTGCGGAAGCAGCAGCAACAACAAAAGCAGCCAATTCAAAAACCGGATGAGGCGAAGAAGACCAAATCGGGAACGGCGACTCCCACGGAAAAGCCACCAACTCCCACGGCCGAAGATGACGTAGCCCATGGATCGCTGAATTTAGAGCGAGCACTCTCCGATTCATTAATGGACGCATTATACCATGGAAAACCTTCAGCTAGAGATAACAAACCCACTGCCACGTATGCGGATGCTGAGGCAACCACTTCCACCGACGACAGCTCAATACTGAAGATCAGCGGCGGTGACAGCCAGACCACCAGCTCTGCGGACGATGCCAGCATCTTGCCAAGTACAAAGGACTCCTCCTTGGGAGAGCGGCTTAACACGGACTCACCCTTTAAGGGAATCTCGCTAAAGGATTTCGAGCAGCATCGACGCATGATCGAGGAACAGAACAAGCAGAAGAAGCAAATGCTCTACCAGGCCATCGAGCAGCACACCCAAAAAACGGCGGCGGAGTCTCGAAAGATCGAGGAAATCCGCCATGAACTGTCGAAACTGGAGAGCGACCTTGCCGTGGACGTGGCCATGCTGAGGAAGCAAATCGACAATGCCTGCATACATTTTTCCAATGTAGAGTAAGTGGGAAAAACCTTGACTTGACCCATTACCTAATGCGTGATCTTTTCAGAAAACAATATGTCAAGATCGAGGCCCAGTTCCTGCGAGCCAAAATAGAGCTTCACAATGCTTCCGAGAAGAAGGAGCTGCTTACCGAGCATCTTTGCACTGTAATTGCCCACAATGAGGATCGCAAGGCGCAGAAGCTAACGGAACTTATGCAGAAAGTGGGCCTGGCGCCGACCGATGAGCCACCTGCCACGCCCCCCAATCCGAATGTCAATTAAGCCCAATTAGATTGTTCAAATCGAATATTTAGCCCTGTTTCCCTAAATTGACCAAGAATTCATAAGCTCGTCTAAAAATTGTATTTGTTCCAAAATTGATATTATATTAATGCTTAATTTTATAGCAATCTTAAAATGAAGCAGGGCTGAGTAAATTATTAGTGTTTGCAATTATATGTAATTAAAGTTCTAAGTTTAAGAAAAAAGTGCAACTTGCAATAAAATATGTGTGTATATGTTGTGTAAAAAGAATTTGTCGCTGAGTAAATGATTGTTTTGTTTACATATATAAAGTGAGGGCATTTATAGTCGGCCAGAAAGAATATTTATTTGTTATTGTTTGGATTACGTTAGGTGGCAACGCCGTTGCGTACACAACAGCTGATCAAGTTTTTAGTTGAATAAACGTGTGCGATAGCTAAACGAAACTAACGAAGGCAAATGGTTTTTATTTTAAATTAAAGAAAAGTAAAGTACGATAATGGCGGGTCGTGGTAGGGGTGGAAAAACAGGCACTTTAACAGCCGAGCAAATGGCCATGCTCGGCTGCACAAAGGATTTGCCGGTCCAAACAGCGCCGCCTCCAACGTTTCCCCCTATTTTGAACAGGCCCACTACATTAGAGGTAGGTGGCATGCATTTCAATTAAAATAAGTAATTTTAAATATACACCCACAACAGACAACCGCCACGCAAAACTACCAGCTGCTCTGGAAGGAGGATTTCCTGAATCGTATGCGTGATTCCCCCTACTATATTATATCTGCCAGCCAGGAGTCGAAAAATGTAGAACACAAGGACTGGCGAGAGGTAATAGCTTATCTACTTAAAGCTTAGAATCCCTTATTCTTTTTGAACACCCTCAGAAAGCCATGGAGCGCATGAAGCTCAAAGCACAGCCTGAATTTAATTATAAAGCCATGCCCCAGGAACTAAACATTTCCAGTCGCAAACGACGTGGTGCGGATGCACGCCCCAAGCTTTTAGCCAAGAAGACCAATATCGAGGATAGGCTGAAGGTGCTGGAACAGAAGGAACTTAAGTCTGGCGGCGGCGAACAGGATGAAATCAAGCAGGAATCCGATTCCGAGCAGGAGGAGGAGCAGGAAGATCCAGAGGCGGCATTGGACGACGAGATGGACGAGGATAACGATTATGGGGCGACCTACTTCGATAACGGAGAAGCCTTTAATGATGAGGACGACAATTTGGATGATGGTCCCGTGTACTGAGCTAAATAAAAACTATCGAACTGAATACTTTAAGATCTGTGATTTACTATTTCGCCACTTTAAGCTTATTAAACACAAATTTTGGATTAATGTACACGAAGGGTAAGCTAGCTTAGTCCAGGCTCTTGGGTGCGTTGTAGTTGAAGTAGACAATTCCGGAGGATTTGACCTGAAATAAGGAATTGCGGGTTAATTTAAAGGATTGACTGGATTGTCGCAGGGACTCACGAATCCAATAGTGCCGGCCAGGACGAGGATGCCAGTGATGAGCGCGGCGTTGTACTTAGCGTTCCTCTGGCTGTGCTGCTCCTTCCAATCTCCAGCGGGAACGGGGAGATCGTTCATGGTGGAGTGGGGACCATGTCCACCGTGGTAAGCGGCACGCGACAAGGCGCCAGCTGAAAAAGTAATATTGTGTAATATTATTTGTTTATGGAAAACGTAAGAATAGGGGAACGACTTGTAGAAAACGCCGTATAAATATTATGATCTCGTTCCAACATAACTCTTTCTTTAGCTTAACCGTAATATTAAAACAAAATTACAGGAAAATTATAAAACTTGATATAATAGTGGGTATAGCGGGTATTATAATGGATAAATTGGTAAACCGTTTCTCCGCAGTTCCTTAAAATCCCTTCCTTCGCTTCCCACATTATGTAATTTTTAAGGTTAGCAGTTGCACTGAAAAAGGCAGCTACGATGCAAAAACTCACCGTTCTTGAGCAGAAGACCCTGCTTGACAATGTGCTTAACCAACATGATTGCTTCAAAGTAGCTGCGAATCGAAAAATCTGCTTTATTTTTAATGCAAAATATTTTTTTCGCGTAAAACTCACCCGTAGATTACCTTGCGTCGAACAGTGTGACCGTGCTTAAATAACTGGGTAATATCTACCTAAGAGCTAGAGATGCGTTCACGAGTTTATCATTAAATTTTCTTTTTTATTAGTACTTAATGCGCCAACATTTCATACATTCATAAACATAAATAGTGGAAATATTTGTATTTTGTAATACATTTCACAAACATAGTTTTATTATTTACCAAGTACCTCAACGAACACGATACGCGCACATCCCTAAGCGATATTCTGTAAGCATCTCTTACAGGGGTCTGTAAAATCAGCTGTTGATGCGGAGGCGTTTACCGATTGCGAATTCCAAGTGCAAACAATTGGAAATTTGTTGATTGTTTGCAGGAGTTTTTCCACGCCCAGTGCCCCGCAAGACATTCCCAGCCATGCTCTCTCTGGCCAACATCAAGCACACTCTGCAGAAGGAGCTGTTCCAGGCCACCGGCGAACGTCTCCTTTCCGTTGTGACGGTGGTCAAGAAGAAGGACAAGAAGCCCTGCTACCTGTGCGTGGTCACCACTTCGCCCCCAGTACCTGTGGTCACGCTGTGCCTCATCAAGCAGTCGGAGCAGCGTGAGAGCGAGTACAAGCGAAAGCGGAGTTGGCAGCTGGACGAGATCAAGTGGGTGGACGGGCGGAACGAGCAGTTTGAGACGCACGAGTTCGATCTTCAGCTGGAGAAGCTTTACAAGTGGTATGCCCTCAATCCCCCCGAGCGACAGAACTTCCTGGCGGTGCTGAATCGGCAGATACAGAAGAGTGTGCGTGGCCAACGAGCCGAATTCCGGAACGTGCCCGCCGCCTGGCTCTCTGAGAAGTCGCCGGAGAAGGTGGTCCTGGGCAGAGTGGCCCAAAAGACGCAACACACCGACGATGAGGAGGACGAGGAAGAGGCCCAGGAGTTCACCGCCCTGACAGACAAGGAGGCCAATGAGCTGGGCAAACTCTTCTCTGAGTGCGACTTTGCCATCAAGGATGCCGAACAGTTCATAGAACAGCTTTCCCGGGAGCTTCATGATCTAGATGGGGTGTGTACAAAGTGTTTTTGAAGTCAATATTTATGACTCATATTTTCTTATCACGCAGGCAAATATGCAAAGTGTGCTGGCCTCGGAGCAGAAAGTTCTGAAAATGATGGAGCACATAGACAATGCGATCAATGAGGCGGACAAGTTTGAGAACCGCCTAGACAGCTACGAGGATATATTAGGCCATGTAAAGGAGACTATGGAGAAGATTGGCGGCAAGAATGCAATGATTGAGATCGCCAACAATAACAATATCAAGCTGATGAAGGAGCTCAACAAAGTCATAGTGTGTATTGACTGAACATCTTTTTTATTTTTGTTTATCCTGCGGTTGTATTTTCAGAACCAACTGGACTTGCCGCACAACCAACAGCAGGCTCTCGATGAACCCGATCTTAAGACCGCCAATGGACGCAAAGCGGCCATAGCAGCTGCCCAATGCCTGCAACAGGCCATGAACAGCGATATCGATCCCGCCCTGCTGCGCTTGGAGGCGGTTCAGGATCAGCGCAAGCGTTTCGAGAAGTGGAAACAAAAGTTCTCGGCCACGGTTAGTCGGTTTATGAACAATCTGTTCATCCACTTGGGCAACGAAATCGGCGACATGCCGGTGACCAGCACAGAGCTGACATTGCCTAATCATTCCAACGTCCATCGGGAACTGACGCCCTATACGGAACTGATGCACTGGACAAAGGCCATGGATCGAAAGACTTATGATGGCTTGATGCGGGTCTACACAGCCTCGCTGAGCAAGATTTATGACAGGGATGTAAAAAACTTCTTTAACTTGGTAAGAACTGAAGTGATAATGGTAACTACATGAGTTTAACTTTTTCAATTTCTTAATAAGGCTAAAATACAAGTGGCAGAAAAATTCCGCAGTTCTCGAGAGGATCTCGACATGTCCACGTCCTCTAGGAAGTCGGCAGTGTCCACGATTCCTTATGGCACTTTGGGAATCAACCGAGATCAGTGGGGACCTGGAGTAGAGAGTGCGGATCGAATTCGCTTCGATGCTCTGCTGGAAAAGGTTCTGGCTGAGTTGGAACCCATTGCATTGCAGGAGCAGCTTTTCTGCATAAACTTCTTTCAAATGGATGTGATTAGTCCAACGACAAAGAACACTCAAACCACATTGGAGATGGAGAAGGCTGTGGACATGTCGCAGTCCATAACAGCGGCAGCTGTTTCCCCATCATCTGACGGCGTGCCGCAGAAACGGATTGATCGCCAGATCAACGAGGATGTGCGAAAGCTGATGATGGGTCTCTTTGGTTGCCTGGAACCAGAGTTGGTGAGCTTCATTCAAAGCTTTGAGCGAGTCGACAGCTTGTAAGTAGCTAAGGAAATATTTTATTATTAATTTGTATATAAATAAATTGCTTTTTTCACAGCTACTCTCTGTACGTTTTGGTGCGTCTCACCCAGCACGTTATGTCCGCCCAGGACACACATTCCTTTCTCAGCATGACCTTCGCATCGGCTCTCGTGCAGGTGAAGCGCAGTTTTGACCGATTCATGCAGAACCAACTGCAGTCCATCAGGGAGGCCAAGTTGCACAAACGGTCCAAAGCGATTCTGCCGTACGTGGAGAACTTCGAGAACTTTGCCCAAACCGCAGAGGGTATTTTCCGCAAGTCAGATCGTCGAACTGACATGGAGAAGTGGTACTTGCAGCTGGTCAATGCCATCTTTGATGGCATAAATCAGCACTCGCAGGACCATCCCAAGACACCTTCGCAGGTGGTGCGAATGGAGAATTACCACCACATGTACGCCCTGCTGGCCCAACTGAAAGTTCCTGGACTGGATGCGCTGAAAAAAGATGCCAAGTCGCGATACAACGAGGCGCTAAAAGCGTATGTGACTCAGTACTTTGGCCGGCCGCTGGAGAAACTGAATGTAAGTCGATGACCTTTCAAAAAGAGAAGATAATTTGGGAAGTGATATTAAAAGATTTGCTTACGCCTTTCGTACTTCGCTTTAGATCTCTATCTTATTAATAACCCTTCTCTTTTTGCAGCAATTCTTTGAGGGCGTGCAACTAAAGGTGGCGCAGGGAGTCAAGGAAACGGAGATTAGCTACCAGATGGCCTTCTCGAAGCAGGAGCTCCGCAAGGTGATCGCCCAGTATCCGGCCCGCGAGGTGAAGAAGGGTCTGGAGAACCTCTACAAAAAGGTGGAGAAGCACCTGAGCGAGGAGGAGAATCTGCTGCAGGTGGTGTGGCACGCCATGCAGGAGGAGTTCATTGCCCAGTACAACTATCTGGAGGAGCGCATCCAGAAGTGCTACGCAGGAGCCATGATCAACCTGGAGTTCAACATCCAGGACATACTAGCCTTCTTCTCGGATATTGCGCGCTCACACTGATCAAAGGATTGGTATCTGGAAATCAGGGAGCGTGTATACCGGGTTTTATTTTTAAGTGCAATAGTATTTAAAGCGCTGATTGAGAAATATACGGCGCAAAAATTTAAACAGATGTGGATTTGTTCAAGTTCAAAGTGAAGAAAGTCTGCATGAAGATTTCGCGCTTAAGGGAACTTAAATTTTATATTAATTCTTAAAATGTGTTTGAGTAATATATTTAAAGAAGAGTTGGAATGTTTTTACATTATACCCACAAAGACCTTGATTTTTGTTTCCTTGTTTTATAATTCTGTGTAAAAGGTCTTGCATACAAATGTAAAGCACCAATTTGAATTTTGAATAGTGGAATTCTGTTCCGTAACCAAAAAGTAAGTGTTACTGCAGCTGATCGTAAACTTTATAATGTGCATACTTAAACACCTAGGAACACATTCGAAGAGCGATAAAAACCAGCGGAAAATCAAAAACTTTAAAAGAATTGTTACCTCTTGGTTATACAGGCTGTGTTAAACTCCATGCACTGCTTAGGGGTTAAACACAATACTTTATTGTTGCTTAACTCGTCGCACTCATTGTCGGTATTGTTAATGGACTGATGGACCCAAAGATGGTAGAACAAGTATAAAGTAGTCTCGTAGGGGAAAAGTCGTTCGGGCTCAGTCCGTAATCGTTGGTGTGACTCTCTTGGCTCTCTTTCGGAAAACGTTGTCCTACCGTTTGGGAAAACAATGTCCAATTTTTTGGAAAAACTTTGTCTAACCGTTTGGGAACCGATTGTAAAGTTTGAATATCAATTAAAGATAACCGGTGATCGCGGGATTGACTAAGACTGATTCTGGGTTTCCTAACCTTGATATGAAGGTCAACAGATTTGTGTGTCTATGATTACAGCTCATTAAAGGACATCTCTCGAATACTCAATGAGGTTATCCCAAGGAAGGTAGGATTCTGATCTCCTCATCATCATGATCAGAGAGAAAATTAAAGATGCATTTATCTCATTGTAGTGCTTACTAATGGACTGATGGCCCCGACGAGACTACCTTTATTCTACCATGGCCAGCACTTGGAGTTATGGACTCAGCTCCCCATTCAAGTTTCGCGCCTCTTTCCGATCGGCTGTCGCTCGAGCGCGTCGTTGGCCGCAACTGCATTATAAGCATTTTATTCCGTGCATTTTAAATTGTTCTATCCCCGTGTACGTGTTTCCGTGTGTGCCCATGTGCCGTGTGTTGATATCTCCGTGAAATGCAAATGGTAATTGCAAGAGCCGCACAACATGCGACTGAATGTGGTGCATATTTTAAGAAGCTCCGCCAGGGAGAACGAAAAGTTAGACGTCCGCCGATCCGAAAACTGATCCTCCCTCCTGTCTGGCCTGTCCCATGCATATTGTGGCCACTACAGCGACCCGTCCGACCAGTTTCGTGCTGCGGTTGTCGCTCCTGTCTCGGCTCTCCTTACCTCCCCGCGACCCCCCTCCCACCTCGATCCCCATCATCCAGCCTTTCCTTACCTTACCTTACCTTGCCTTGCCCTCCGTCTTTGCATTTCTCGTGCACACACGTTCCTCGCTTTTTGTGTCTCTCGTGCGCTCCCGTGCCCATGTTCTTCCACTTTTTCGGCAGCCTGTAGTACAGTGAATACCGGTTAACTGCTGTTCCGGTTCGGGGGAACACTTTTTATTGATGTTTTGTATGCACAACTAATCGGATACAAAAAACATTAAGCAACAACACTTTTTAACACCTCCAACAAAAGCTATGAAAACTTCCTGTCTCCAACAACCTTCTCAATGGTTAATTTAAATTTGAAATTTATGATCCTTATTCAAACTTAGTCATGGATCATATTAAGTGCCCTTCTTGGGCTTTCTTGAAATTGTGAATATTATCGTTTAAAATAATTCGTTTAAAAGAGTGAGTAATAGTTTTTAAAAAAGTTAACTCTGATAACGCTGGTAATTTGCGAAAAATCTTATTATCTTGTTACCACTTTTGTCTATAATCATAATCATTTTCATTAAGTGATTTCGTTTGCATAGTTTTAATAGCTGTTTTCTTTTCTTATTTTGAACAAAAATAAGTTTGGTAAAATTCTTGTTTCGCATCTAATCTCATATTGCACTTTTCGTGTTGTACCCACTGTTCTTCTTTTCTTAGCATTCCTCTTTAACAAACTGCCTTTTGTTTTTTGCCTTAACTGGCGGTCATCAGAGTTGCTGTTTGCCGTATATTTTAACGAAGTTTCGCTGAAACCTGGCCCACCTTGATAAGCCCCTGGAAAGTCAGTCAGTCGCGATCGCTGGCCGATCGTCTCGGCAAGTTCAATGCTACACCTCGCAGTATTGGCGGTGCATTTTCGACTTCCGCTATAATTAGCTAGTTCGTACCGTAGTTAATTCGCTGGCCCTTCCCTTACATAGCCCACTTTAATTGTTCTCGAATAAACGGATGGAGCACGATAGCAAACTATGTTCAGTGATTAACTGCAAGAGTTATCTATGTCGTCAGTAAATATTGTAATCGCTGACAAGATCTTGAGTCATAAAGAGACCAGGGATGAAGTGGCCTTAGTGGGTTAGTAGCTTGAACTTGTTAACTGCAATAAATACGTAGAAGTTGAAGGCACAAATTTGTCAGATTTATAAAGAGATACAAATGGTTAATTTAAAAATGTTACTTCAATGTCAGCTTATAAGATACTTATACTTGTAGCTTAGTGTTTATGTATGGAAAATATAGTCTCAGTTGTCATCAGTGTACTTTTTCTAAATTGCGGCGAGATCAGAGTTCTCATTTGTGCTGTGTGTACATAATTTAATTACCCTGATTGCTACCATTCAAATTTTTATTTTTTCAGTTTTAATTGCCGTTCCACTTTATTATTTGCATGCAGAGAGTATATATTTTCGCACTTGATAAGCGGAGAGAATACATGGTCCACACCTCATTTGCTCTGTCGAAACACTTTTAAAATTGTAATAAAGAAGGGGAAACATTTTAAATTGGGGTTTTAGACTTTAGGCTTTCCGAAGTGAAAACCTTTAAAAAGAGATTTACTTATTTTACATTTCTTAACAGAGATCCTGTGCATTGTTTATTTTGTTTATTTTGTGACATATACAGTAGAACCTTGGATTTAAGCGTAAACATCTAGAGTCACTTTTGTTTTCGCTCATAATCAAGTGTTTACTTATTTGCGTGGCACATTTAGAATTATTACAGAGGAAACGGAATACGACGGCGTAATATCCGCTTTAGAATGCATTGCTGGCAAATATTTGCACTCGGTCATTATCTTTTGTTTCAATACTTCACCCAACTGCAATGTCGGGAGTGGAGGAAGGTGCCCCGCCCCCACCCACTGCCCGCCCACTCCGCGCACTTTTCGCAAATTTCCCGAAGGGGGAAGCCATCAACTCGGTGCTTCGTGACTGAGTCATCAGGTTTTTTCCTCTATCTCCCGCCGGTTTTGGCCTGAACCAGAACCCAAGTTTACTTGAGGTTAGCAGCCAGAGGCAGTTTTTTCCCTACCATTTCTGGCTTCTTACCTTTCGTTCTTTCTTTATTTTCGCCTCGTTCTTTTTGCTTTGCCAAGAACTGCAATGGCTTGCTGTGGGCCGCACATTTCTTGCCTCGCATTTTCATTTTTGCCCACCTGAAGTGACCGTTATTCTCGCGAGCGGAGTGGTCTCCCAGCGGGAAAGTGAGAAGTAGGTTTTTAGAAGTAGGTTTTCGGTTTTAAGACTATTGGAAATCCTGCTTCTTTTAGCAGGCGTAGGGGTAGGAAATGAAAATTTCGGTCCGCTAAATAAGGGTGGGTTTCTGAAACCTGTGGATTTTTACATAGAAACCTCCTTTACCCCTTCCTTTTGTGTGTCACCCCCGTGTATTTTGAAAGGAGAGACGGCAAAAATGTAAGGGGTGAAGGAGGTTTTTGCCCTTCCGCTTGTATGAAGAAATCTCTGGAAAATAGCATATCTTCCACATCTCTTTTCCCGCTAGCTAGCGTCTAGAGCCTAGACCTAGACTAATTAAATCAAAGCTCTCGAGCGCTGCTGTCATCAGCAGAATGACCGTCGGTGTACTTGGCTCCCAATCTGCGACATACGTGCTGAAATTTTTTCTCCAAATTTTCGGGGTGTTTGGCAATCGGAAAGCTCAGACAATAAGCGCCGTAAGTTTGCTGTTGTTTGCATATGAAACACCTATATATGTATCTATATACAGGTGCGCGTATAGTTATGTGCTTGTTTTATAATGCATGTGGAAAAAGAGTGTGCGGTGCACATTGTTCGGAACAATGGAGCGTTATACGATAAAAAGTGTATAAATAAGCCGAAACGGGGGTTGCATGTCACCGGCTCAGCCTTAGATCGCTCAGCCCTGAGAAAATGAAGTCACTCTCAAATAAATAAAAATAAAGGCGAGAAGAGTTACGGCAAGTGCTAACTGAATATTGTGCGAGTAGTATGCCACATAATACCAGCCTCTCACCCTCGGACGGTGGATCTTTATTTATTGTTGTCGTGTTCTCGAAATCCATGAGCCATGTGAACCGTGTGAACCCCAAACACCAGCTGTAACTAAATCAAAAAGGCGGCAAGTGACTGTAAAAGTGAGGAAGTTGGGCGGGTGCAACTATGCTTTGGCTTTTGATCTCTACGAAAAGATAAAAAGTAAAATTTGATTAATTTTCCAGGCTTGCCTTATCGTTTACGATTCGCAATTAACCATTGAACTGCATGTTGCATAACTTAAACTGAAACCATTAAAGTGTAGTTCTTCTAAACTTTCGATTATTAAGTAACAACCCGGTCTAAAAATAAACATTTTCAACGGGCTTAAATTGTTAGCAAACCCATTCAACTACCAATAATAATAGCTGTCACAGAATCTCGTGATTTGTTTGCGTACAAAATTAGCATGTTTTTACCCAACAGTCTATGGAGTAAATCAATTACAGGTATAGGAATTTTGTTTTTATTTTTAACTGGCTGTATTTCATGCAATTATTTTTATTGAGCTTTAAATGTAAAACAATTAGAGGAAAAAATAACTGTAAATAGTATCTCCATGGTACTGAAATTCTTGAATCCTACTTGCCTTTTCAAAACAATTTATTCTAAATATTAAATCTCGAGAAAATAAACAGTATTTTTTGTTTTCGAAATAGTTTTAAGATTCCCAGAGCAAAGACATTACCTCCGAGAAAAGCCAAGATACAAATGCGATATCTCCTCCAGTTGGCTCTTAGAAGCGATGAAAAAATAAACGCTCGAGCACGTCATATTCGATTGGGGGTAGAGTTGCAGATCTAGCAGCTCGATTGCTCCACGCAGCCGAGGTGGAAAGTAACTCCAGATACTCTTGCACACACACTCACACATACTCGCACACACTCACACTCGTGGAGAGCCCTCTTTGGACCTAGAGCACATAACTCCATGGGTCTGGGCCCGGTCGGACCATTTATGGTGTCAGTAAGGTACACTGCAGCCGGTAATGGCCATGATAATGATGCCTCTTGGCCGACTCGCCACCAGAACGCCACAAAGTGGTGCAATTTGCTCGGCGGTTCTTAGACTTCTTCGCCAGTCTGCCGCTAGAAAGTGGCCAGAAGGCGGCTGGTAAATAGCAAAACAAAAAAATAAAAAAACAAAAAAAGTAGAAGCGTGGTGTAAGCCAAAGTAAAGCATGCTGCGGAAAATGGCTCTGCACTCATTTTGGTAACTGACAGGTTACCAAGTTGCCAAGGCGAGTCAGTCGGCTATCGTCCCCTTTTTCGAGTGTCTGCTCGTCTGGTTTGGTTTGTTTTCACCATGTAAACGTGATCGTGGAAGTGGACGAACTCGTGTCTTACATTATATATAGACCAGTTTCCTCGTTTTGATGAGCCCGGTTCTAATGTGCTTCCAAAGATGATCCCCCTCCCCCTCCCCTCCCTTTTCCCCTTCAAGCTTCAAGCTCAACTGCCTGGAGGTCTTTAAGAGAAGCGTTTTTACCTGGAAAGCTCAGGTGTGACGGAAATGTCTTCATAAATCAGCTTTGCATACGAATACGAAATTATCAAATTAGGGGATAATTATATTAAATAATATTTGGTTAGTTACCGTTATGAAGAGAGAAGAAAGGCAGTTCTTAACTTGGTACATTTCACCTTAAAAACCTAATAAGCTTAAAGGTAGTTTATCTAATTAGAATTACTTATTTTGTAGTATCTTTTCTTGTACTTTAGTAAATGAAGACAAAACT